ATCTGTCGAGGCATAGGCGGAGATGACGAAAAGACTCACTTTGATGGAACTTTCTAATCTAACAGCACATAACCGACTGTTAATGGGGATCCAATCGATTAGTGCTGCCTCAGCTCTAGCGCTTAGTGCGATACCAACGCCAGCGAGATCAGACGAAGATGCCACAGGGTCCCCGGATAGAACGCACGTAAAACAAGCTTTTTGAAGCGACAGATGGAGATCGAGTTTGTAGTACTTCACCAGAGTCTTGAATACGGGTCTCGGATAGACAACAAACATCAAAATTAAGACTTTCCAAAGACATAGCCAGCCCTATCTGTTGTCCGACCTGCATAAATGTGCGAACGTTGAAGGCAGCCAGTTTGAATGATGCACGTGGTTTCAGAAAAACTGCTTCAGTCCTCGTATTCGGTGGTAACATACAATTTTCAACCGGACAGTGACTCGAGAACGTTTAGATACAGTCGAATTCCCACCACAGGCGAGCCGCTGTATAAGTATAAAAGAGGGTGAATAATGTGGTAAATAATAATAATAACAATAATAGTAGTAATAATAATAATAATAGTATTAATAATGACAATAATTGTAATGATAATAATTTGAATCAATTGATTCTTTTTCGAAGCGAGAAAAGTAATTTCCATAGGCATAGAGAGTTCAATGATACTGCCCGGGTGCCCAAACCGAAGCAGGTGGTTATCTTAGGGGGCCACTCCCCGAGCCTTTGACCTAAAGGTCTAACCCACAAGGCAGTGGAGCATCGTAAGGAGATGCAATCCCATGGTAGCCGGTGACCAACGATTGGTTCATACGCCATTTGTTCCCGCACGATACTGGAGCCCATGTGCACCATTGATTTGTGATCCGGTTAAAGCGCCGGACATTTGCTTTTCGTCCTCTCATTTTCGTAAACAACACCCCCGCCTCGAGAAAGCAATGAGTAGGACTCCCCTGGCAGAGGCTGTATACGCGTGGCCGTGTGAGAGTATTTCGAGATGGAGAGCGGACTCTCCACACTCTCGGCCGTACCAGGGCATTCTGGGGCGAGGTTATGTATAGACAATGTGCTACTATTTTTGCTTTTTTGATAAATCAATTTTCGATGTCTTGTGACTAAAGTGCCAATCATAATTCTCATCTAGAAGTGTGACTGAAAAGTCTTGCAAAATCTTCAAAGTGATGTATAGAAACAGCTGAGGCAAAGCGAGAACCGTATTGGACTGGTTAAAGGCCAACTTGCAGATCTCAGAGACTAATTCCTATGACTCCTATACCTTTGTTTATAAAAAATAATCAAGTCAAGTAGGTGAGTACTACGACACCCATAAGTCAAGAGAGCTTACATACAACTGGTATTAACAGTATTAAACCATAAAAGTACTCTGCAATTACTTATGACGAAAAATATGACTACTTTGCCAGATATACTCCTCACCACAGAAGACAGTGGCACACAAAATGTTGAACAAAACAGATGAATATATTCCTTTACATGAATATACGAAACACTCGAGCAAACCAATGTCTTTGGCGGATCAACAAGAGCCAATCAACATCGAGGTGTACATGACAAGCTGCGAAACACATATGGAGAAACTCGAACGCTTCACTTCTATTTGAAGTTTGTGCTGACGATGTCGTTCAGAAGAACGATGAAAGCTCCACGACCAAACCATCCAGTTCAGAGGACAAAACTCCATCACAACCACACATCTTCATTGTCCCACCAGAGTGATGAGGTTGGGTATGGTTGCCAATCATACAATTACTAATCAAACTTCCTATTGATAAGGTTTTGAAAAGAGCTCCCATTGGTGTAAGTAATGGTGGCATTCAGTTGTAACATTGAGAACACTTTTCAAACATTTGTGTGGAGATAATATTGTTTGGTGGGAGCAGGAGAACGAATGAAAATCTGGCCCATTCTTTGCGACAAAATGATGTCATCTAGGTCATATGTAAACGCGACGAACGGAGAAGCTAGTACTATTAGTAGAAAACTGGACTGAGTTGAGGATGCTAGGCGAATCTCCGTGTTCGATCATTGTTGTCTCTGAAGGACTGCCGACATTCACTGGCAACACCAATCGGTATCGCCGTGTTGAAGTGCCGGTTTCAGTGTCTTGAACATGTATCGCACAGAATTCCACTTTATACTCTATTTCCCGGAGCTGAAACTGGTTGAAAAAAGCTGATGGTCAGTTTGCAACTCGATGTCGGAGTACGAAAGAGAGCCGTCCACAACTAGTATTCGTCGGTCCTTCACGACTCCATAGTTCGAGTCCGGGGGACAGTGGCTTGGGATATTATACACGGATCAGAGTAGAAGCCGGTAGCGATCCTGCCTTAGTCTGCTAGAAGAACATCCCCAACTGAAATAATCTATTCTGGTTGTATTCTTCTTGACTGAACTGTTTCACCGACCACTTATTACTCTCACCCACTTATTTTAACTAATTAATTCTTTCTTATCATACACACCATCATTTCTTCCTGTCACGCACACTGTGACTAATGCACATTTATTTTGGCGCCTCTTTTTAACAAAAATGACGAATATAAATAAATAATGATGATCACACTTTACAATCTACACAGTGGGACGCACCGGCCAGAAATATGTAGTCTGTCGCAACTAGTTCAGCAGAATAAAGTCCACAGCCCGACCAGCCAACTTTACATTATATTGTACGCCAAATATCAATATTACCCATGCTTCGGTTTCATCACACAATTAGTAACTTCTAAAATATCTGCGATTGTGTATTACCGACAAACCTACGTGTTTTCATATGAGTAGGTCACGTGCAACAGTAGTAAAGTGATATATAGAGAAATACCGCTCACCGTACTTGCCATTTGACAAAATTCTTGCCCGCACAGTTTTGGGAAAGAACAGGTGAGCCTTCTGTGCCACCAGCCGCAAACGCGACGTGGTTGAAAAAATCACCAAGAAAAATGGGTAGTTAACGAGCTCGACCACTTCACTCCCTATGCTTAGAAATGTCACTGGATTGCACCAGTCTCGGGAATTCACTTTGCGTCTGCAGTTAAAAAAACATTCCTGAGTTATTATACAGACCACTCAGAGGACTGTTTTATTAGTGTTTTCAGTAAACAGAACAACCCTTATACTCGAAGTGAACAAATGGATCTCTAGGCAGAGGGTGAGTTCCTGGAATTTCGTGACTAAAGTTGCTGGAAATATATCTATAACAAAAGAAACAAACAGGGGAAGTAGAAGAGCACTTACACCCGATAGTTGACGAAGCCAACGACGATAGCAGTTTCCAATGAGCTCAAACTAGAGCGATGTTCCAGAAGAGGATCTCTTGTAAAATGATAAACATTATTTTTCTCAATTACTGAGTGCACTATGATCTCTTTTGATAGACAGAGTAGAATACTTTTCCAACACTATCCCGACAAATATCTACGTCTTCCTACGTTCCAGAACCCACTGAAGGGTATATACTGTCGACAAACCTGCGGACAGCACTGAAAACTGCTATGTTGTGATTGATTGTCCAGTCGAGCAGAGTGGTCACTTTTTCAGGAAGGAGACATGAACGATGCATTTATTTGTAACTTTACTGTCCTTGCTTCTATTGTAGAGATAAACTGAAGAAACGCACGTGGTTTTTCGACATTTCAGTTATATATCTTTACGAAAATTAAACATGTTAGTGATATATTGCAGCAACCTTGTAGAAACGTATAACAATGATACCTACACTTCTACACTATGAAATGGTGACAATGTACGAGTTAACTCCGATGTGTTCGTTTTGTATAGTTTATATTATTTGGCGCAAATCATTATAGGTCCACTTATTCGAGTTTGAGCCATACTTTTTATAAGAACTAGTGATAGCATCCAGGTGACCAAATGGCAGTGGAGAGGTTCGAACGTATTATCTAATAGTTCAAGATTAGGTGCTTTCAGTACGAATCTACCACCAAGTGTCGGGCACAGACCATCCTGTTTGATAACAGCTCAAGTCAGAATACCGATTGTGGAAGTTAACTGGGGCAGACAAATAAGCAAGTGATTGAATCGCATATTTAAGTTTATGTAGATGATCAGCAAAGTTAACTAACAAATATGCATACAAATTCCGGTCCGGGACAACTTGTTTATTTCACACTTTACTAGACGAGTAGCAAACAAACAAGTTACAAGGACAAACGATGAAGACATCTGTGCCAATGAATCTTTACATCAAGCGGTACATTAGTTTTGACCGACTGATTAATCTTGATAAATTTTCATTGTTGTCAAAATCAGGTATTTGAAAACTGTCTAGAAGAGCATTCCAATTCATACAACTGATATAACTTCCTAATTAAAATTACGGAGAAAATGTAATTGATTTCATGAAGTGAATTATTTGGATTCAGCTATTTCTATGACAAGTCAATAAGCTGAAACGCATAACATCAACAAGACTTACTACATTTAAGTATTTATTTGTCCTACGGAGTTAGAGGTACACAAACAATAACTTAAAAACAAACGGTCACAGTTGATTTTACTTCCTATCGCTCTTTAAAATTTAGTTATAATTCCTAACTTTATTCTTCGACATTAATTCTTCCTTACAAACTATTTTCCATGCTTCAATTTCCATCGATTTCAACATTGTTGCATATACTATGCTTCTCATTTGAGTTTCTTGTTGTGATATCCAGTGTGGTAATTTAGACTGATACATATATGTACAAGGTCTTACGTTAATAACGACCGATCGACTTAAAAGTAACATGTCCTCCCGCCACAAAGTTGTCAGCCCAGATCACCTTGAAGCAAATCCTGAATGTCTACAAGTGGTAACAATGAGGAAAGCAGTACATATAGTTAAGTAACGTTAGTAAAACAATAAGAACCTGAAAATATAAGCCATTGCAAAGGTTGAACAGTGTGGAACGTGATAGGCTTCTTAATTTCTATCATAGTAACGTGATAGTAATCTAATAAGGTGGACACATAAACGTATGAGCTATAACCACGAGGTCACTTGTGCACATGTAGAATGTTATATAACGGTACCTTCAGATAGTGATGCTCAGTGTCAATACACATAATGCCGGATCATCTCAAGATGATCATGACCTGAATTAAAAAACTGAAGTATAGTAGAGAGGACTAACTAGAAAACTATAGAATAAATGACTCAACTGGATGTCTGCGAATTCAGTTTAGATTTCGTTAAGCAAGTCAGTATAAAAAACACACCTTCCAAAGTTTTATTGACAAGCGACTGAAGATTAAACAATTAATAGATCGTCCACATAACTATGGAAATACAAAGTGTGAGCCGAAGCTGAAAATCAAATACATTGAATGAGTTGCATAATTAGAAAAAAACAAATAAAATCCAGTTAGGGGATGCGATCGGTACAAATGATCCAGATTAAAATTCCATTAACCTAGCACAGTCTATTCTGTTTCCCCACCTCAATAAAACGCTCCTCACTAATATCTTCTAGGTCATGTGCTTGCAAGGTGTGTTTGATCCCTTGGAACTGAGACTTTACACTGCCCATCGTGGACGCATACACCATATTTTTCGAAAGGGTTAAGTTCCTCGGGGTCCTAAACTCGTATAGACACAAACAAACAACGTACCACATAATAAAAAACAAGTCTGTAGTTTTATTGGGATATTCATAGTCATATATAACGTATCGACCATCTCTTAACTTCATTGCTTCAACCATATCGTTTCTGAAATCTTCGTACGTTGCCGCTAATGGTACCGGTGAAGAAATGTTATACCTTAATACTAACCTCTCACAGCTTCTTTCAGAATGCGGACATCTCCCCGTTCGTCGATGTGAAACATAACATAACGATGTTTTTTGAGCATTTTCAGATCATGGTAAGCAACGAGACATGATGAGTGACATTTTACGCCAGAATTCTACAATAAAACTGAAAATTAATACTATGTAACTATTTTTAGAAACAGAAAACCCGTAAGGGGATCAGAGACTGACCATTCTATGTCAGGTTTGAGGAATACCACGTTGCCCGCCTTTTTTAATAAATCGAACAGTACAAATGGTCAAATTGTTCATTTGAACGGATAAGGCTTTCGCTTAACAGGATTCTGTATTTAGTATATATAACAATAAAAGAGAAAACCATTGGTAAATTTTAATGAGATACTGTCTTTAGTCTGTAAGAATATGACAGGTTTTCTCTTAAAGGACTCCTGTGGACTCGCATGAACCACCTCAGGTGGCAGCGAATTTTGGAGTCCGATAACTTTAGAAGAGTAAAAGGTGTACCTGCAGTCCATCCTGCTATGTTGTACCTTTAATTACTGAGTTTCATCCCAAGGTTTATGGTGAGAATGAGCTTAAGTGGGTGTTTAAGAGGGTATCGAGGAGTGTTTGGGGTGCTAAAAGTTAATGGGAGGTCACTTCTCAGATGCCTACACCCTAACAAATAAAATTCCATTGACCTGACGCGCTCCTCATAAGGTTTGACTTTGAGTCCCTGGACTGATTTCGTGGCTCGCCTTTGTATACGTTTCAGTGTATTGTTATCCGATGGAGGAAACAGTATATATCCATAGTCTAAATGGGGTCCAATAAAACTTCTGAAGATTGAGTGGAACTTTCTACCGTCGAACCGGCCAGAAATGACGTTTAGCGTCACCAATGCAAGTTTTGGTCAAGAGGCACTTTTTTATCGCAGTTAGCGTAAGAATTTAAAATCATATGATACCCAGACTCCTAGCTCTTTTTCATCTTGAGATACTTAAGATGTAAGCGTAGTCTGCAACATATCTCATACGGACTGCTTTACACCGTGAATTGTTGAAATTAAGACTGTTTTTATCAACACAACTTTGAAGTCGAGTCAGGTCTTCCTGAAGTGTCAGCTTATCACCTTGTTTGGAAACTTCTCTCCGGAGTTTCACATCATTAGAGAAAAGTAATAAATCAGACGATACTTGCATTAGATAATTTACGTAATCAGTATCCAAATTCCAATGTCTTTGTCACAAGCTTGTATAAACCAATAGATTTCTTTGTGCTCGCTTCTTGTTTTTTTTCGGTATGATTTCAGGTACCCGGTAATGTTTCATGTGTGGTAGTTTAGACACTCGACTGAACTAATTCTAGTCAGTGTGGCAGTTATATACAGATTCGTGTGTTTGTAGTTGAGTGAGTGCGTTTATCTCAGGAGAGTAGGGTTACTGGATACCACAGTTACTTTATTACAAAGCAAGGAGTTGGCTGGTTGGTTGCAATGCGAAAATAAAGTGATAATTCAAGTGCTAAGTAAAGACGATCATTTCAATAAACTAAAAATAAATAATTTAACCAATTGGTAATCATTAAGAAGACGGAATCAAAAGGGCAAGAACGTAATGGAGATAATAATAAAAAAGTCGAGAAATAGTTATCGATATGTGGTAGTGATAACCGTAGTAATTTATGAGACACGAATCAGACACAGTTGGTCTGAGAGAGAGATGGCAATCCATGAGTGAGTAGGTGTTTGTAAAGTTTCCCCTAACACTATCCACTAAAGGAGTTGTGGCCATTTCGGCAGGAAAGCATTCCAAACGATGGTATTTCGTAAGGAGAAAAAGTGAGAGAGTAGCTGGGTGCTCGCTCTTTGGTGTGCAACCTTTTGAGGGTTGCCTCAGGAGCGTGGTGACTATGTTCTGATAGTATGCTCGAATTGGAGTGGTTTAGCAAACCTGATATGTTGTGTGTCATTATCAGATCACCCCTTACGCTCCAGTAGCTCAGCGAGAACAACCCCAAGTGTCAGAGTTTGTCCTTGTAAAATTCATGTTTTAGGCTTATTGCCCAATCGGCTGCTCGTCTTTGTACCTGATCTAGGCGATTTGTGTCTCTTTTGTGGATTTCAAGGTTGTGCCACGCAAACGTTTTGAACAATGCTGGGAACAACTTTGAGATGGTTGCGCTGTTGTCTTCACATAAAGGGAAATATTGCGATTGCTTTGGCTGCATACCCTCTGTAATTAGCTCTGGTGACCTGGTTCTTTGTGATTACAAGCCCGAACTCACTCTTTCAAGGAAAAATGAGAGCAGATCTCCATGGAGGACGTTAGTGGTTTGTGTCAAATAAGGCAGAGTGTTAGTATAACAACTTCTTGACATGTTAAATTTTAATCTATTGTCTACTACTCATTCCTCCCTTTCTTTGAGGCCTTTTTTGAACCTCAAGTTAATCCCTTACGTTTTTCATAAACCACTAGATCTTTGTATATTCCCTATAGATTGGTGCAGTCAAGCTAATTTTATCTTACAGATAGTTCATGAAGTTCATGAAAAGGAGAGAACCCAAGATTGTTCCATGTGAAACTCCTGATGTTAAAACGTTCTAGCTAGCGAACACTTTATTTAACTTGGTACGAAGCATGCAGATCTCTGTGTAGTTTCGGATCCAGGATAAGAGTGGGCAAGTGAAACTCATCTTTGCAACGTTTTCTACGGGAAGTACATGGGATATAGTGTCGAAGGGTTTTGCAAAATAGAGGGATATTACATGAGCCAGTATCATGTGATTCCAGCAGGTCGTTCAGCTTCCCCATACAATGAGGAGATTGGATGCTCATGACCTGCCTTTCCTGAACTCCTGTCGAGCTTCGTGAACGATACTGCTTTTATCCAAGCATTCTCTCATATTTTCATCCTTCCATTACCTTCGAGAATATTAGGAGCAATGAAACTGGTCTCTCACAAGCTGGGTTTCGTCTATCTCCGTTTCAAGATTAGAGTGAGAGTACCTTGCTTCCACAAAGTTAGCATTAAAAGTATTCACTATCTCTAAGTTAGTAAGATTTCTCCACTTGGTTCCTTAAAAGTACCGATCGATTGGTTTGTGAACTTTCTCCTCATCATGAATCCGCGGAGATGTTTGAGGTTAGCTCGCATTTTGGCTGCTGGATTAGCATGAAGACACCACCTAACCCTACAGACTTTGGAGTTACATCTGTATCTTAACGCCTAATAACAGTTACAGTCAGAATCCTTCAGGGGAACTTTCCACTCGTATCAGGGTGCCTTTTTTGCCTGCAATAAGTGTTGTCTGACTCGCCTAACCCAAAATCTTTCATATCCAAGTGTGCACCTCTCTTGAAGTACGTTGTTTAGAGTGGAATTTCGAAAGATATCCCTCACTACCTCCTGGTGGTCATCCACTGTTTGTATCCACCACTATCATCGTTAGGTGACATTTTAGAGATGCTCGCTCGTGGTAGCTTGACCTGTTTTGATGTAGCTAGGGTTAAGAGTGTCCTCGCTTCAATGCTATATCTCGCTAGTGACCAGGTTATATATGACAGCACCATGTCCACTACTTATTACAGATGGGTGAACAACAACATTCTCAATTAGAAGCTGATCAGTTGTTAACAAATAATTAAAGTCTGTAGATTTTCTGTCCTCATCCCATCTCGTGGCGCAAGCGACATATCCAGTCATCCCTGAAATTTTAATGGCTGCACCAAGCCAGCTATAGAACCGCACTGTAGAGGCCGTATCCTGCTTCCTGAGATGTGGGGATGGAGTGTTTTCTGACTTTCTAGCAGCAACTCTCATGGCCCATGAATATTCGTTTATAATGTGGATCTGAGAAAATCGTTTAGCCGATGGTCTTTGAGATGTCAGTAGTGTTTCTTTTGTAACATATACTGAGTCTAGAGTTATTTTTAATGGGAGGGTTTTAGGTTTCGCTATGTTTTGACACTTCTGCGGGCGGCATATCAAAGAACTCCCCGCCTTCTAGTAGGCCACTCACCAACATTGGAACATTAAATAAAACCAAGGAGTTCTGTCTAATATCTTTGCACCCTGATGTGAACAGAGAAACAGAGTAGCCATGACAAATAACGAAAGCTATTTTTGGGAACGTTATTTCACTTACGTCAAAGTGTGTAGAATACTAACATTTACTTATGTCTCTAGTTTATTCTCCAAACCATAATCTTCCACTTTGTGTATGGTTCAGAGCCATACTTTTTTGTTCCAAAGCTGATGTAATTTAAATGTAGTCTGTGGTACTCTATTCTCGTACCCCAATGCCTAGTTCTGGACATAATTCTGTATCGGTTTCCCTTCACAATGCCTACTCACTACTCCACAATGTTAACAGATACTGGAATTTTTGTGTATGCGCTCGGGCTTTGGCTCCGAAATTCGTGTGTTCAGTTGAGTGTATGTTTGACAGTTTGGTTATACTTTTACGGATTGATATGTTTGCTTACAATGGGGTCTCGTAATTCTCACTTTTTAGTCCCACCTGTTTTTTCTACGCTGTGGACAAACATACCAGAACTACAAACAAGGTTGACTTAACATGAACACGTAATACTGCCTAGTTACTGCGTCATCACAGTGACAGCAAACCCAAAAACTGTAGAAATTACGTTCAAGTGCTGTCACGCGATTTGATAAGCGATGAGCATGCGATGCACTTATCATTTTTGTGTCATTTACTCCCCCTGAAGGCTGCATTACAGACAGTTTAGGACAACCCTTTTATCCTAGCTTGATTTGGCTCACTAGTCCTACTGAGAGTAGAAATCTGAATAAGGCTGTGTGTTGTGTCAAAGCTTTTGCTACTATTTATAACTTATGACCCTAGGTAACGATGGAACCAAACTTTAATCCAATCACCAAGGTTTATTCGCAAATTACAAATAATCGACCCAAATGTCGATCTCATAATAAATATAACAATTACAAAACAAACCTTCAGTTTCTTAGGTTCCCGGAGCAAAATCACCCAAATATCAAACCGAAGACAAAGAGAAACCAAAATGTGTGAAGACAAAGATATCAACACACAAGTTCGGGAGTTCATCAGAACAAATACATCCGAAAACACCACGGAAATAGAAAATTTTCAGCACAATATTTTTTAATCAGTCAAACAATTTTATTTCTCCCACAACAGTATGATCCTGACCAATTAGGTGAAGACCCAGTCCTGATGTTTAAGTCTAGTGGTCTATGTAATATCCATTGCTATGAGGTTCTTTATCTGGTGTCGTCTTGAGCTTTCTTGTAA